TCTATCTCAAAATAAATTTATAATACGTTATAAATAGTCTAATTTCATTACGAGAGAATTAAAATAACGATACAACAACACCTATAACAACCTATAACCTGCCTGTAACAACCTATAACCTATAACAATTACTTGTTTCGGATGAGATAATCCGTCCGGCGCCTACCATGTGCCTTGGAGTTATTTTTTATGTTTCTTGGGCAATATTACTTATTTTGTTAAAAAATATATTGGAAATTTAAAGTATATACTTTGCAATAAACGGACTATATAAATTTATGATAAAAAGATGACTTTTCCTGTGTGCAAATACGTTTTGAAACGGAGAACTCAATTTTTCTTTTCTTTTTTTTATCACTTATACCTTTGTTATTTATGTAATTTTCAACGAATATAGAAAAATTAGCGTCTCTGTTTTATTCTCTATTTTGTCCTTAATTCGCTGCTTTTCGAGTTATGTAAATATTGCTTTTCGTTTGGTTTTTATGAGACTTTTTCCAAATCCTAGTAAAATCGTAAAATTCGGCCGGTTATCTTCGCATAAGCACCTCTTTTTTGCCCGGCACTAAAAGGGTTAAAGAGGGTTATTATCGTCTATAACTTCAAAAATTCTTTTTTTTTTTTGCATTTTGTTATAGTTTGGGGTTCTGAGAATCTGTCTCGAAAATATTAAGGTGAAGTGAATATCGGAGCCTTCGATAATTGTGCATCGATCGAAATATGAGAGCTCGACGCCATTTTGTTTCTGGTCTGGGCTGAGTTAAAAAATTGTTTCGAAAAATCCAAATTCTAAATGTGTCAGGACAATTCTTAGATGGTCACGAGTCATGTGTCAAAGTTACGGACAGTTTGGTCCAATACCCTTAAAAAAAAGTGTTGTATTCGGATCGACTGATGTGAAAGTGGTTTCACTTCACCTTAAAACATTATACGCATATTCGCTAATGAAACGAGGAATGTAGACGAATCAATATAATAGGCAAGATGACCGGACCAGCGGAACAAACGTCATTAGATCTTGGAAAAGAGTATTAGTCAGCCACAAATATTGGAGGTTATGTAGATGATTGGCCGAAAGTGCGTCGGTGTCTCCATTACAGAGGAAATAGAACGGCGGATCGGTATCGCATCTTCGCGAGTCGTGCAAACGCACGGCTTTATTTTTGGTTCGCATTCCAAGAGCGAGACGAGCGTCGACAAATTACGAAACTCCCGACAACTCGGAGGAAAAACGTGAATCCTCGGCCCGGTAATACCGCTAATGAGAAACTAAGCCGAGCAGATCCACAATGAAATATTCTTACAGGCCCGCGAATTCAAATCCAGCTGACATTAAAGTAGCAACCTGAAAATGGCGACTGCTCTTTGCCAGAAATCTCAGAATTTCGATTCGCTGGTCCATATGTCAGGAAATTCGGTAGAGTTTCGCGCCAAATACATATAAACGCCTGCGCGATCAATTATCGGTATAAAAATCACGATAAACGATCGATGCGGACCATCGACCCAATGATTGTCTTGCAACCTCATTTTTACTTACATGTTTATTATTTCTTTCTTATCTGTACTAATTGTGTCATGCACACGTGTTCGGAAAGGTTTCATCAATTTCTATCTGTATAGAATTTGTTGTTCTAGCAAACTTAAAATGTCCAAAAAAGCGTTTCACACCCCATTGAAAATATTCAATTTCATACTATATATATTTACAAACGTGTCGTTACATTTCCTCTAATAAATGTTACAATCGCACCCTATATCGGTAGCAATTGTAACAAAGACATTGGGTACGAAAAATAAAGTTCGCAATTTTCCATGAACTTTTAAACCGATGAAACCTAAACCATCTTTTAGTGAAAGATTCGATTAATATATGTATCCAGTTTCAATCGTGAAAATCCGTTAGTCAATTACAGAATTAAAAATGTAAAAATTGTTACAATTGACCTCGGTCTCCCCTACATCTCGTCTTCTGCGCATGGAAAACAAAATTCATTTTTAGAATGTTTAATAACCATAACAAAGTGTTCGATGCACGTCCTCAAAGCCTATAGAGCTTCTCTAAAACTATATTAATTAAGTATATACAGTAACCATTGGAAATCTGTTTTACAACAATGTAGTTAGTCATACAGCCGTTACAGCCAATTACAAAATTAAAAATGTAAAAATTATAACAATTGTGCCCATAATTATGAAAGTGGTCTAAGTCAAAATTAAAAAAAAAAAAATGAGTTTATCAGTTATTTCACGCCATATTATTTCAAACGAAATTAATTCAATGTAATTTCGAAACAAAAAATATATGACTTAGACCACTTTCATAATTATGGGCACCATTGACCTCAGTCTCCCCTACATCTGGTCCTCTGCGCATGAAATACAAAATTCGTTTATAGAGTGTGTAATAACCATAACAAAGTGTTCGATGCACGTCCTCAAAGCCTATAGAGCTTCTCTAAAACTATATTAATTAAGTATATACAGTAACCATTGGAAATCTGTTTTGTAGCAATTGGATACTTCAGAAATAATCCACTCTTTAAAGATCCCTGCGGTCAGGAGTGAGTGAACGAGAAAGTGTACCAGCTCGAGGCGCGAGAAACGCGTCCTCGAAAATAATATAGACATACATCAACTGACAAGGAAGGTATCCCAGATCGATCTCTCCGATTTGATTTCTTTTATAATATGTTATAGTAGACTAAAAACTAGGCGACACTTTTTTACAGTTCGTTACTACTTATGTTCCTCTTTGTTTTAGTGCTGACACCATCTGCGTACATTTTGTTCATACAATTCAACACTATTTATATTCATCTTCGTGTGCCAGTATTGAGAAAATTTGCGTAATCGTTTTCCTTAGCGGTAGTACGTTATTACTGACATTTAAAGTGAAATTAAAACAAGAAAGTAAGAATTAAAAAATAAACATATGGCCAAAACCGAACCAGAACCGAACACGTAGGAACATGTCGTGAAAAAATAACTAAAAATAATTAATTAACATCTAAGCGTTCTTTTAAACTTACAATTAAAAGTTTCAAGGTCAACGCGCATGACGGTCGCGTACCGATGTTCGAATGCGATACTTAAAAATATTTCTGCACTTTTTATTATATTCTTGAAATATTCCTACCCACGACCAGCTAATCAATGAGTGAACTCGAGGCGCGATAAAACGGAGCACATGTCCGCGAAAACGTTACGTACCGTCCGAGCAACCGCGTTGCTTGGCAACACGAGGGGGCCATTTCTAACAAGGAAGGTATCCCAGGTCGATCTCTCCGATTTCATTTCTTTTACAATACGTCATAGTAGACTAAAAACTAGGCGACACGTATTTTTTTTTATCTGCCATTAAACACTTTAAGGGGGTGAAACCACCATCCAAAGTAAGGCATGTCAAGGGGCGCTTTGGCAGTTTGACCCACAAGAACATAATATTTTTCTACCAATCCACCTGGAAAAGCTTCCTCATAAAGAGAAATGATGAATATAATTTTATCAATTCATATGTTAATTTTTTTTAAATATCCCGAGATACAATAAAATTACATATAACCTTTTCGATAGAAAGTGTGATTCCCTACAAGAAAGATGATATGCATTTCTATCGTATCTTGCATAGTTTTTTTTTAGAGATCATGGATTTAGTTGAAAACATCTATTGACACAAAGTTCATGTGAATTTTTTCGAAGAAATATGTAAGATACGAGTGAACGACATCCAACCTTTTTTATAGGAAATTTAATTTTCTATAAAATTGGTTCCGTGTATTTTTTTTGTTAATTGCTGAGAGACATTCACGTGAAATTACGGAATGCCGTATAAAATACATACTACAGTTTCATATTATAGATTGAACTAATCGAAAGACCTATTATTATTACAAAGTACCTCGAAATTAAGGAATTCCCTTGCATCAAATAACCAAAACAATTAAGGTGAAGCGAAACCCCCTTCAAATCAATCGATTCGAATACAACACTTTTTTTTAAGGGTATTGGACCAAACTGTTCGTAACTTTGACACATGACTCGTGATCATCTGAAAATTGTCCTGACACATTCAAAATTTGGATTTTTTTTATTTTTTAACTCAGCCCAGACCAGAACCAAAATGGCGTCGAGCTCTCATATTTCGATCAATATACAATTATCGAAGGCTCTGATATAAGAAACGAAAGGGTCAGGACAATTTTTCGACAATTTAGAACACTCTGGTAATTGATAAACTCGCATTTGAACGGGATAAAGGCAAAAAAAGTGTTTTATGCGCTTCTATTCTAATATGATGGAAATACGAGGTCTCAGAGTGAAAATTTAAATGACCCGGAAATCACAGATGGCGCAGGGGGTCCCTCTGCAGTCAATTAGGGCCCCAGAAAACATGAATGCAGGGGATTTCTGGAGTTTTACTTCGATTTCTTCGTAATTATTGTACGAAAACGACAGGTGGAGTATGCCACTTAATGCAATACCCAATATAATTCGACACAACTGTCAATATAAAAACGAACGTCGGCAACGTAGGCACTTAGAAAAGTCTTCTTTTTCGACGTCGATAAAGTTCCTCGACGTGTTTCACTTCACCTTAAGGGTTAAATTCCGACGATCATTCCTTTTTGTGGATGAAAATGACAAAAACCGATTAACCCTTATGAACGACGAGCGCAGAAATCATGCAGGATGTCGATGCTCGGGAGTGTACCGACACCGAAAGAGGTCTACCAGTCGAAAATAGAAGTAAACACGAGAAGCCGTTCGAGTACAGACATCCCGTCCGAAGGTAGAGAGCAAAGCCGAGTCGAGCCGGGTGTCCGCGAGAGCGCGTGCACCACCTCGGGCCGGGCCCCGGCGGTGCGCGTGCCCTCGCGTTCGGGGACGCCCGGAGTTGCCAGGCAACCCTCGGGTCTTTCCGCCAGGACGGAAGCCGGCGGCGCGACCGGCGCGACCGCCGCTACGGGGCGGCGCGGCCGCCGCGAAGAGCGACTCACCTGATAATAACTCGAGTCCGCCATCTTGCCACTAATAAGACTCACTCACTTTCTACCCGTCCTTTGTGCGCGCGAGACGGCAGGTCCATCGCTCACTGGAGCGGCACTCGCCGGGCTCGCGAGTCTCCGGAGCCGGCCATCCTCGCGGCCGCGCGGCGACGGTTAACGCGTCCCTCGCCGAGGCACGCGCCCTCGACGGAATCTACAATGCGCGGACTCGGAGACCGCCAGCCACTGCCACCGCGAGCCACACCGAGAGAAGAACGCGCTTGCGCGCCACTCGCGGACACAAGTGCAGACGCGGCCGCATCCAACCGCATCCCCCGTCCCGGACCGTCGAGGACTGGCGAGATTGACGGGCCAAGGGACTCGCCGTTGCTCGCCGCGAGGGGATTTTCCCCCGGAACGGCCTCGCTAGAGGCCCCTTCCCCTGGACGCCGAGCGCTCGTTGGCTCCCTCGGGTCGGGACAGGGGAAAGGCGGTCACTTGGCAACGCCGCGAACCGCTATGTCGACCAATCGGAGAGGCGCGAATGGACCTCTGCGCATCCACGACACGCGTCCGCCATCTTGTATTCTCCCGCCTAAACTGTCAAACGATGACGCCGTTCGGTTTCGATCGGCTTAAGAATGTACTGCTGAAATTAAGTTTTTGAAATCTTTTAGTTGAACGAATCGACAAAGGACGACGGAACCATGTAAAATGACGTGTGATAAGGTTAATTGAGGTCAATTGGGGGTATTTTTCGACCGTATCGGTGAACGATTTTAAACTACAAAATGGAACAAATGCCAAGTGTAGTGGGGTATTAAAAAGATGTATGTCATACAGTAGGCACCCCACATCGGAAATATGGATTGAAACCTGTTGGAGAATTTAGCGCTATTTTAGTGCTATTTTAGTGATACAACCTCGATTTTAGTGCTCCACCCCTTATACCGAAAATCGGTGGTGGTGCTGAGTGAAAGTTCACTCAGCACTCCCACAGTGCATACTACGTTAAGGGAAAGATTCACGGAAAAAACGAGTAGGCAGCATTTTGGTGCTATTTTAGTGCTGTAGAAATACCCACGAGCCGGATCCGAAACATCACCTCCTTCACCCCAAAACTACCCCCGATCGTATAAGCACCAAGAGAGAAAAGGTAGAAATAGCAACATTTTGCATGTTCCCTTCTCGAATTATTTTGGTGCTATTTTAGTGCTCCGTAAATACTCAAGAGCCGGATCCGAAACATCACCCCTTTCACCCCAAAACTACCCCCGATCGTATAAGCACCAAAAGAGAAGAGGTAGAAATAGTAACATTTTGCACGTTCTTTTTTTGCATTATTTTGGTGCTATTTATGTGCTCTGTGGATACCCACGATATCCTTAAAGCACTTAACACCAAAATAATGCGAGAGTACATGCAAAATGTATTATTATTTCCACCTTTCCTATCTTGGAGCCTATATGATCAGGGGTAGTTTCAGGGTAAAGGGGGTGATATTTCGGATCTGTCTCTTGGGTATGCCTAAAGCACTTAAGTAGCACCAAAATACTGCATACCCGTTTTTTCCATGAATCTTTTCCATGAAACCCTTAACGTAATCTGCACTGTGGGGGTGCTGAGTGAATGTTTACTCAGCATCCCCACCGATTTTCGGTATAAAGGGTGGAGCACTAAAATCGAGGTTGTAACACTAAAATAGCACTAAAAAGGCACTAAATTCTCCAATAGGTTTCATTTCATATTTCCGATGTGTGGGTGCCTACTGTACATACATATTAAAAAGGACATTTTAACAAAAAGATCAGGAAAATAGAATGTTATGTACAATATAATGAATTTTTAATACACGTGTCGTGGTGTTGACTTTTCATTTCGGGAATGTTTGCCTAGTTTTACGGTTGCTCTTGAATCAGCGCTTTGAGCCATTCGTCGGGTGTCCGTGTGAATAGGGTTTCTGGATTTTGATAAAGATTTTTTGGTTCGTGACAAGCATCGTACAGTTGCTTATAAATCGCTGCAACTACTTTAAGCGGTCGTTTGTATGCTTCCCTGCGATGAGTAGTACTTTGTAGTAAGTAGGTTTGTGGCAGAAAATACATGTCCGAGGTCATACAGAACATATCTAGCTTCTCCTGTAACGTAATCAAGATTATATTCCAATTGTTTCGGATGAAAACATTTTGAAACGGTAATGGAGACTCACGCTTAGTTTTTTTATGCTATGATAATCCATGCCTGGAATTGCCGATAACGGTCCCTGTTCTTTTCCTTGTAAAATCGTACAAATAGGTCTAAGATTTAATTCGGCAACTAAATAACTAGATTGTTCCGAAGCCAGAGTATCGAGTTGAGCATCTGATAGAACCTGTGCAACAGGATATCTCGTATGAATGTATTATATATACAAAACTGAACTAAAAATTAAGCAGAAATATCGCAAAATATTATACTTAATATTTTATTATGCTCATCTTAAATCACTTAGTTCAGTTACCTGTAATCTTTCTAGTCTTTGATCCACGTATTCGTACACAGCTAAAGTTTTTTGTATTTGATAAATACAATTTAACAGGTACACAGCCATGTCAACTATGGGAAGCCGAGATGCTGCCTCGTTAACTTGTTGCATCAATGGATCAATGATGCAAGAAACAATCTATATAAAATTAAAGGAATGTTTAAACAATCACTGACATACTATCATGTAAATAAATAGATTTAGTCTATTGACCTGAACCATGTCATTTTCTCTGCCTTCTGCTATACTTGCTACCGACAGAACTTCTTCAAGAATGCATAGTAAATTGTAAACCGACGTCGCTGGATTTAAATCAGTATTCGGTGGCTCAGAATGCTCTCCAATAGCAGATCGTATTTCACTTTGTAATTTCATGTAAAAGCTTTTCTCGCTTAAATCTAGTAGATCACCTAAAGTAATATCCAGGATACTACCTGGTACGATCTGGCTTAGTATGGCACGATAAAACCTTATCAAGGTTGTGACAGAGTATAATACTGTCACTGGCATGTCCCCAGCTAGGGTATGTTCTATTCTTGATTTCAAAGGATAGCACAAACCTTCTGTAATGTTTCCCAATGCTTGTTGCACTTGTTCCGATATATCTAAAATAAAAATTTAATTTATTATTTAGCTATATTATAACACGCGAGTCTAAGAAGGTATGATTACGATTCAGACCTGTTTTATCACAATCTTTAACAAATGTTAGGATGTTTTCTTTTTCAACTGGTATTGCTTGATGTAACCAAGCAAGCATATCTCCGACATATCTCTTTGGATCATGTGCATGCATTTCTATGGGATTGGATGTTCTTCCAAATCCTTCATCTAACGTCAATGCGTCAATAAAAGAACTAACTAAAACAGATCTTCTGGCTGTACAGTACTCATCCAAAATATACCTGAAATTTATACAATTCCAATGCAGAATGTTATTTCAAAAAATTGTTATAACTTTACAATATTTACAAAAATGACTTCCACAATACCATCAAACCAAAAAGCTATAGAAATTATATTCTTACTTGAATCACAGAATGTATAATGTTACCATAATTCCGCACTGTACATTATATATATATACTCACTTAAAAAGTACAGGCCTATCCTGTAATTTATTCATTGCCTTAATCAATAAGGGAACTAGATGCTCGTTTTCAATATGACGACATTGCCCCTGAGTCCACCTGTACAATCTTTCTAAAGCAGCTTCTTGTAAAAGTGTCATTCTTTGCATAACATCCAAAGCCAATGTTTGATAACCAGATTGCATTAAAATTCCGCAAGTACCATGTATTTCCTGCATATAAAGGATAAATATATTAATCATAATATATCACCAGATCATCTTTGGTAATCATAACCCCATATTTCACCTGCACACGATCTAAAATTGTAAAAAATTCCTCAGTGATGGTAGGTGCTTCCCTCGAAGTACCTTGAAGTATTGCTATTTCTGATGAAGTTAACTGAAACTTCTTTATGAAAGCATTAGCAACATCTTGTTGTATTGATATTTTCTGGCTGGAAAATAATGTTCATGAAAATGACTATGCCATTTCAAACCTTTTTTAAAATATTACACCTTATTACAAAATATAATCTGTAAGATATGATTAGTACCTTTCACTTTGAAGTTTTGTCGTTTGATCTATAAGTCGTAACGTTTGTGTTTTTGTTGTTTGTAATTGATGGGTCATACTTTGTACCGAGCTGTTCATTTCAACAACTTCTCTGTAAATATCATCTAATGAAGATTTAACTTCTCTAAATGCACATAAGAATTCATCGTTTATCGATAAGCTTCTCCTTTCTATTTTACTTCGCAAATTTCTCCTTGCGCTCAAGGTATTTTCTGTGAAAAATGTGGACAATTCTTTCAATGCTTCTAGAGTCTCCTGAAAAGATAAAACATTTTATTAACAAGTACAAAATGAATAACTTAACAAAACATTTCCAATAGAATTGCTGAAAATGATAACATTACATCAGTATACTTAGATATGTAGGATTTTCACTATATAAATTTATGCAACTGTGTGTACTACACTGTTACAAAGAATAAGCTTGCGATTACACACCTGGATGTTAAAATAAAATAGAAATACGTACAAATTATGTACATATGTATTATCGTACGCAACAATAAATTCTATATTCAATATATTAACATTAAAAAATTCTTATAGTAAAAGTCAATACGTTCGTTTTACATACAAGTACCCATATGTGTAAAACGTATGCATATGCAAGATAAGTACCTTATCATTTTCAAGTCTCGATTCAAGCAATTTATTAACTCGACGAATTAATGCAGGGCTTGATGATTTCTCCTCCATTGTTATCATGTTTATGTTAATTACTGATCATTTTTAGATCATTCAACATAACCTACAATCAAAAACTGAAACTGAGTAGGAACAAAGAATTCAGAAGCAGAGATGAGTTGGGAGATTGCTCACGGGCAGGGTCGCGCGATC